GTCTCAATAAATAAATAAATAAATAAATAAATAAATAAATAAATAAAATTCGTTTGTGTGCGCTCTGTGGTGCTCACGTGAAGGTCAGAGGACACCCTGTTCTTGCCTTCGACCATGTGGGCTCTAGGCACCAAACTCAGGTCCACAGGTTTAGAGGCAAAGCCCCTGGACCCAATGAGCCACTCTGACCTCCCTGTACAAGAGTTCTGTATTTCCCGGGGGACTGTGGCTGGCTCTTTGGTGACATGAGCTCTTCTATACGTCAAGAGTTGCAGTCATGTGATATCCCATCTACCATTCTCACCACTGGCCCAACAAGGGGGTGTCCCCCAATCTTGAACTTGGATTTGAAAAACCATTACAAGCCTGGGTATGGTGGTGCACACCTTTAATCCCCGAACTCGGGAGGCAGAGGCAGGCGGATCTCTGAGTTTGAGGCCAGCCTGGTCTCCAAAGTGAATTCCAGGACAGCCAGGACTAAGCAGAAAGACCCCGTCTCGAAAGAAAAAAAAAAATCACTACACTGTGATTTTTTTCTCTGTGTGATGCACGGTGAGTTATCGACATCGGGATTTTCTTTGCTTTTGTTTTGTTTTGTTTTTGTTTTTTTTTTCTCTGTGTAGTCCTGGCTGTCCTGGAGCTCACTCTGGAGACCAGGCTGACCTGAACTCACAGAGGTCACCTGCCTCTGCCTCCTGAGTGCTGGGATCAAAGGCGTGTGCCACCACTGTCAGGCCTGACCTCAGGTGTTTTGTTTTAGTCCTTTAATACTGAGCACACAGGTATGTGTGAGTGCTTCTGTGTGCCTCTATCACGAACGACACTGTGTTTGGGGCCAGGGCGATGAATAAATGCTCGTGTGTGTGCAAACTTGAGGGCCTGGGTTTGCACCCAGATAAAACCAAGCAAACTGGTAAAATGTCCTGGCCTGACAGACAGCGTACTTATTTCCTCAGATGTGATGGTATCTGCCCTGTGGCTTTCTGGGTGAAAGGGCATACGAGTTTGTGGTTTTGGAGACGTTGCTGAGTTGCTGATAGGAGCAGCTAGTGTTGACAAAGCAAGCAAGGCCCTGGTTTCTACTCAGGTGCTCAAAGTTGGCACAAAAGCACTTTTCTTAAATTTTTAAGGTTTCAGATGCTGATCTTTCCCCAAAAAGGTACAGGGGTTGAAAGATACAGGAAAGAGAAAGAGAGGGAGGCATGGGGAGAAAAGGTGGTGGCAGAAATGGAGGGGGAAAGAGAAGGAGAAAAGACCAAGAACCTAGGAGTCACCGGTGACTCATGGCTATGATCCTAGCACCCAGGGACTGAGACGGGAGGGGCCTGTGAAATGGAATTCCAGCAGACTCATTGCATCTAGGGCAAACATTAGAATAAAATAGTTCTTTTCTTTCTTTTTTTTTTTTTGAAAGTGTGAAGAGACATTTATTCAAGACTTCTGTATTTCTCACAATGCTTTCAACGTCTAATAAAATCCCGTCTAGCTTTCACATGCTTAAAATAGCTGTTTTCTAAAAGTACTTAGACCTTGAGGAAATCATGGTGGAAAACTGATTGTTCTCTGTTATTTATAGAGTTGTTTTCCTGAAGGAGCTATACAGCCTTGCCTTGACTTTAGTCACAAAAACGGTCTGGCAAGCCTGGAATGTCTTGCACTATTGGGTGCTGCAAACAGTGCACAAGGTTTCAGGGGTGGTGGTTTTGGTGTGCGTGACGTTTTCCTTCAGAAAACATGAATCAGATCAGGGCTTTTGTATGAGGAACTTGTTCCCAAAAAGCAACTTTTGTGCAACATCAATACATGTGTTTCTGCATGGCTGTTGGAGTTCATTGAGGCTGACATCCCAGCTGACTCAGAGCCTGGGTTACGACCTGGAGTGACCCCTTTCTCAGAACACTGACATGCCTGGACGATGGGTGAGTGGAACCCTTTTCCAGGGAGGAAGGGAGAGAGAGAGAAAGGGCTAAAAGAGAAGAAATAGGGTGTGATTCTCTCCTTTCAAATTCTGCCTCACCCTTTAATGGCGGACCAACCATGATCAGTTTTCTCCCCACCCACCCCCATCCATAAACTAGAGGATGGTAACATCTTGTTATTTAGAAAAGGCAGGCTGGGGTGGTGGCTAATTGGGTGAAGATTTCCTGGACATGGGAGTGTGTGTCTATGACCCCAGCACAACTGAGCTAAGATAGAAGTGGGGACGGAGCAGCCCTCAGGGGCTCCTGAGTCAGCAAGGCTGGCATAGAGACTTCCTCAAAAGCAGGTGGAGGTGAGAACAGCAAAAGCTGTGTTCTGATCCCTTCTCTCTCTCTCTCTCTCTCTCTCTCTCTCTCTCTCACACACACACACACACACACACACACACACACACACACACTTACAGAAACACGTACTTTAATGTGGAGAAAGTTTCCTTTACATTGTTGCTTATCAAGCAGAAATACTGAATACTGATGGTGTCTTGGGGCAGGAAAGACAGGAAGCTTGAAGGGCTGTGACCAGACAGAGTCCCTCACCCCAGAGTGTTGTTGAAGTCTGAACACATGAGAGTTGATTTTTTTTTTTTTTTTTTACTAAACTAAAACAGTAAAGAACCACAA